TCAAAAACGGGCTACGAAAACAAGTGCCGGCTACACTGCGAACAAGGTTAGATAAATTCTTTTTTGGTTATCGCACAACACCGAACGAAACGACTGGTAAGGGCGGAGGTTTAGGACGCGGTTAGACTTGCTGTTTCTCGATTAGAGGCTCCGTGTCGAGGTCAAAGAAGATAAACCAAAGACCGAGTATGCTCGGAGGGCGGTCGATCGACAACTCTGCGAGACCGGATCGGTTTATTTTAAGTTGCCTAGCGAAATGAACTGACAGCCTGGAGATCTGCGCTAAGACGTGGGACAAAATACGGAAGTGGCTCTACCATATGGAAGGCACATGGAAGGCATATTCGGCACAATGACAATGTCCGTCCCCGCTATGTCTCGGTTCCGCCAGCCGACGCATCGAAGAGCCCGATCACTGAGACGTGCAGAATGTCAATCAAACAGAGACCGTAATGTCACCAATCAGGCCAAGAATGCCGACAAGTTGATCGATACCAGGCCAGTTGGAGTAGTTCCAAGTAAAGGGAAATGTGGCAACTGAGCGACCTGAATTCACTTATCTGCTTCACCTCGCCAAGGCAGTGTGCCAGTCCAACGCCAAGCTAGTAATCAATTAAAATGGGTTCCTATTGGCTGGATCCACCAATGGCAGTGTGTCCATTAACGACAATCCAACCATTGATTAGTGTCTAAACTTATGCGAAGCATTGTGTTTATAACAAGACAACACATTCTGTGAACTGCTGAAACTGACGTGTTCTGCTGTCGTGCGCTACGTGGCGAATAGTGCGTTCTACAGAGTCGTGGTTCAGTATGGCCTGAGTTGTGACCGGCCCGTGCCACAAATGCCTAGTCAGCGCTTACCGAGAATAGCCTCGTTTTGTTTACCGGACGTAGGATGGATAGAAGTGAGCAAAAGTTGAATTTGTAACGGGAAAGGAAGCCAATGACGACCAAACTGTGTGTTGTTGCTTCCTCTCGCCTTACAAGCTGAAGTCCAGGTGACTACACTTGCGCTTGTGCTGTCAAAATACAGCACGCAGTATAGGTGAACACAAAGGGGATGTAGTAAATCGCTGAATCGACAAAGAAAATCCCTCGACGTGGGTTGAAAAAGAAGAAAAAAGAAAGGAAGGAAGAAAAAGAAAGAATATTTTCATTGTATACCAGGAAGGACCAATGATCTAATTATGGTGATGTGTTACACCGGAAAATGATACCCGGACAGTGCGCTGCAAACTTTTTTTCGCGATGGTAACATTTAGAAGCACAGGTTCACAAGTACCAGTCGGTGCACAATAGCCGTTAGCGAAATGGCATCGCCACCGAGACGAGGTCAAAAAGGAAATATTGTGTAGCATCCACTTACGAAAGAATCCAAACCCAAGTGAACAAAGCGAAGAGTCCGCTTGGTAGACGTTTGACGTCCCACCAATTAACAGTAAAGCGTTCTCAGACGTATGACATAAAGTAATCGAAGTATCGAAGTAATACACAACATTGTGGCTCCGCGTTGTCGCTATGTGAACACGAGTATACAGCAGCTGTTCAGTTGTAGCGTTCAATATAAGAAGTGCCAGTCATGAGGAAAATCCCCATCTCGAGTAGAGGCAACTAGTGTTGTCGACTTGGTCCCACGTCGACTACAGCAAAGGGCATGCGGACACATTTGGACATATACGTAGCTAGCCATTCGGTACCGAGCGCTCGATGTGGTGTCGCTTAAGCAGCAAGCTGTAAATCGAGGCACAGCAGCGTGTGTTCAATGGGTGATAGCAGAACTGCGCGATGATACATCGACTTACACTCAGACCAGATACATTATTTGATTTGCTCAGTTTTGTTGTTCTGTTGCATAACCCGTCAATTTTGTGGTTTTATGTTCCTACAAATGTTGTATTGGTTGTTTGATTTACCCGGTGTGGTGCACTTGAGGTGAATTTTGACAAGGAGTCTACCAGTCTGTTACCCACCATCTCGTCTGTACTGGTACCAAAAGACAGTAAATCGTTGCTAAGGGAAGGGGTGCACAGTCCTCGTAGTCGTGCTAGGTTCAAAGAGTGGTTCCATCCTGTGTGGAGCGGAGTACGGCCCAGCCTCCACCTTGTGTACATCTGGCACGCTTGATTACCCAATTAGGTATGAATGCTTCCGCTCTGTTTGTTGTAGGAGTGTGGGCCGGCTCCGCTGATGCAATGTGGCTCCCATCCACATGCCTTTCGGTCTTATTCCTTCCGGTTTACACTGGATATTGGGCGTGTGGATGGAGATGTGAGTGGCGCAGCGCAAACCACCCATGGGACCACGGTAGACGCAAGCGTCCTATGGAGGCCGCAGTGACAGGCGAATTTGGAACCAGATGTCGCCAACCATATGATGATACAAAAAGAATCGAACCGAAATCAGTACATTATGTCAAGTTGACAAGTATCGGAACGCTTGTGAGAAAGCTAAGAACCCGTTAGTGATTGCACTAAATAAGTAAGCCGGATTGGCGAGATTAATCAGATAAGCTAAAGAAGTAAGTCATGAAGCAGTCTATCCAGCTGCTTCACCTGTGTTGCCACGCTGTTAATACAGAGAAAACTAAAATAGCACACTTAGTTCTGCAATTGAATGTATCACGCGTTGTCGAGAAGATATATATATATATATATATATATATATATATGTATTGAAAAAAGGGATATAAAAGAGAAGAATGAAGAGGCTAAGTGGGCAGCGATTCGAGAAAATATTCGTAGCAATGCATAATAAAGCTAACAATTGAAAGAAAAGAATCACAATGTAAGGGTTACATCTAGTTCGTCACTGCATCGCTTTAGATAGTGTCTCGAACATATGAGCTGTCATTCCGGAAACAGGTGTGGAAAATGGACTGTATCTACGTGATTAAGTATCCTTGGTGGGTGATCACCCTATGACAACGAATTCAGACGTACGCTTGGCGCGCAGTCAGCTAACTGAACTAGGGAAACAGTGGGGTGAACACTTGGGGCAGATGCATATAAAATGAAATCATATCGCCGAGGAAATTCAGGTCCTCCGATCAGCCATTTTCAACAAAGCCATGTTCAACTAGCTTTTCGCTGGAATGACGGCGAAGAGAAGAAAAGTGAAAAGATAAGAGATATGGTTGCGACAGAATTTACAATATAACCAAAATGCGTTAAGCGTGAAAAGCGCACTACTGATGGGTTCAATAGGTAATTGATAGAGAGCAAGCACTTGCAGCCCGGAAATTTTAAGAACCCAGGGCAGTAAAAAGGTTCCGATACAAAATGCCCATGCCCCAAGTTGGGTGGTTCGCGTGTTGACGTTTGGAGAAAACAATTACCGTATCGCGAAACAATGAATGCATTTGAAATAGCATTTAGAGAAGGCTGGCACTAGTAGGTTATTGCTTCGTCCAGTAGTGATGGGTGTATCGGTCAGAGTCAGATTACTGAAAAGTTTCACAGGTGGAAGTAATCGAGAAACTCCCAGACAATGAGATAAATCTACAGTGGATATAAAAATGTTGCATTGTAGTGTGTATGAGAAAAGATGTACAGGTGCTCGCTTCCGCGCAGGCACAGTCCATCGCGCTACCTCGGTGAAGTAAGTCTGCAGAGAAGGCCAGTAACTAAAGCAAATATTAAGGATTAAAGCTAGCATACTAACGGTGTTGGAAGCCACAAACAACTGGAACGTGTGAGGAAAACTATGGATGAGGTGGTTTGCATGGCGCCAGTTTACGACCTATTGCAGACGTAAGTTAGGTCAAACGGCACGCAAACAGCCCGAATGAAAGATCGAAATTAGAACCTATGGCGGTAGGTACCAGGGTGGCGTTCACGAGAAACCTCCTAGTATTGGGCTGCCTGCAAGTAGAGCGGACAGAACGTCGCCTAGTAGCTGTTGTCCCCAATTGGGTGAATTGAACGAAAAGCTAACTTAGATGGGAATCAAGAATTTCCTAAATAGGAGTACATGATAAAGACTTAATTAACCATCTTACAGGGAGAGACGACGCATGGTCATCGCAATCACCCAATTAACCTTGACACTGTGAATTCTAGTACCATTTGATTAGACAAAGGAACCGTGTGGAGTAACGTCCAAACGAGACATTCTCACCGAAATAAGTAAAAACAACCTGTAACGCCAAGTTGTCCACTTGACTATTCCACTGAGATTCGTGCGCCAGATGTTATGGCGTTAGAAAGCAAGCCCAATATCGAGTAGGTGAGCATTACTCACCAAATTAATGGAAATGCGTATCACTCGGTGGAATGGTTTTATACATGTGGTACTGAAGGCGAACGAGTGCAGTCAACGCGGTAACTGGAATGGAAGGTGAAGGGCGATAATGCAAAATATGAGTCGCCCAAATGCTCATTGATTCTCCCGTTGCGTCGATCATAGCGGGGACAGATGTCCGCACGGGGGAACAAAGGTTCTAAAATACAGCACACGTGACAGATCACCAGACAGGCAAATCGAATAGTAACAACAATTGAAGAGAAGGAAGAGGAGCGTGGATTAGTATAATTTAGTCCGATGATCTCAAAAAGTGGCTCAATGGGTATCCTATGGAGACTGAGCATGAGCAGAAGACGCCAAAATGTATCGTCAAATGGAAAGCAGGTGTGAAAAAATATGTTAGCCCAGGTTGGAGCATAGCAAATGTATTCCGAACCTAGGGGAATAGAAAAGCAAAATACAGAGACAATACACTGACCAGAATCGATCTGAAAGGCCGCTCAGGGATAGGACCGTAGATACAAAAACACAATAGCGACTAGTTCCGCTGTACTTCCAAAACAAAGCACGGGAACAAAAATACGTCAAATAAGTCTGCGGAAGGCAGCGACTAGTGTACAGCGAGAACTAGGTTAAGGAGTAGAGTTGGATGGTGATCGCGTGATAAAACTGAACGCGTTCCTGGATATGCGAATAATCGGAGAGCCGGAAATCAGTGCGAGAAAGTGATAAGGCATCAGACAATGAGAACGTACCACCAATTGGAGCGATTGGTTTCTGATAGGGCACAGAGCGCCGCGTGTGAAGAACACGTAAAGGGTGTGGAAGAGGAGGGTCCGGTGACTTGTGTATTGGTGCAGTAGTTGTCGGTTCGAGTGTGGTGCGCTGTAGTAGCCATTCTAGCCTATCGGCGAGGCGATCCGAGGTTAAAGGGGAATTATGATCGAGAGTTTGGGGATGAACGTCCCATGGGAGAGAAATACTCTGATCATGAGTCTCTGTCTGTTCTTCTTCGGATTCAGTGTCGCTGACATCCGTACCTTCCATCCAGCAAGGAAATAGATCTTGGGCATCAACGCGCCACCAATGTAATGACTGCTCAACCTCAGAAGTGTCCGAAAATTGCACGCCCCGTGCGTCGACTGGAAGATCTGAAAAAGAAACATGGTTACAAACTTGAGGGAGAGCAGCGCTAAGGAGAAACAGGTGCACTTAAACGGAGTACAAGTGAGTACAAGGGCACCAAAAATGGTGACGTCGAAAAACGAGACGTGAAAGGCGGCTACGAGGTGACGGTGCATTGAGAAATGGAATAAGTGCAGTGTAGATTACTACAAATCCCACGTGGAACGGTCATCTGGTCAGACAGTAGTTTAAAAGGATAATAAACAGAAGATAACATCAATGTCGAAGAATTGGGTCGTAGGCGATGTGGGAGGCCATAAGATCAAACCGAACGTGGGCGTGGTCAGCGTGAAGGGGAAAGCGTGAGCGACGGAGATACTGGAGTGCAAAAGTGAGGGTTCCAGAAGCATGAGTCGATCACCCAAGAGGTCGTGACGATAGATCCCGTAAGACAGAAGAAGTGAAACATGTGAGATCATAGCGACAGCACAACGATCAGCTAAGACCAATAAGACGGCGAAAACAAAAAAAGGTCATAAAAGAACAGATGATAGAGTTCAGAACAAGTGAAATCCGATCATCTGTCTGTGGGTGAGAGTAAGACATGACCTTGAGTGCAGAAAGGGACGGGTTATGGAGTGCAGTGGCATCCGTTCAGTCAGATGATCTCTAGGTACATGTAAAATGAGTAGGGGTTTGCGGACTAGTGAGCACCAGAGCACGTTACCAAGGTGAAGAGAGACACAGAGACATTCGAAAAAAACATTTAGTTTGGGACGAGGGAGTCTTGATACAGTCCCTAGCGTCTCGTTCGGAAGAGCAGATAACAGTGGTTACGTGTTGCAAAATTTGTTATTCTGAACAGGAAGTGTAGACTAGGCACAATCACGAAGTATAAGCGTGACTGATGATCCGGAATGAAAGTGCCCAAGTTCTGTGCTGTGTACGAGTTCACTCGTTTCCAAAATACCCAAAAGCAAAGGAATATGAAGATAAACGAATAAATAAATAAAGCTTATTCTCGACTAGACGATGCACGCCCTAAAAGGCCTGAGCATGGAGGTGCAGCAGTGTGTATTATGTGGATCATTAGCCGATCAGAAAAATTCAGATGGTGGTCATTTATTGCCAGTTGAAAGTACATAGGCGGTGGCTAATAACGAGAAGATTTGTGGTGCATGTACCAATATTTGATAAAAATAACCAATAAATCTTTTGCAAGACGATACTGCAAATCCCAACTTAATAGTTACGTCCCAGCAGTGGCAAGAAATAGAAGGATTCGAAATGATTTCAAAGGTAAAGGGAGAGTTCATCTAAAAGTTGCAGGTCGTGTTTAAGTGCGTGCCAGTGATTTGCGGTTACAGCAAAATGCTACTATGTGCAGTTTTCACGTCTCCCGAATTTCAACGTTTTCGCTAGGTCGTTGGCATACTCAAGATGTTTGAACGGCAGGATGAATAATCAAAATTCTTTTTCCGATATCCATCGAAGAACATTGGTAAGATTCTTTTAGGCAGGAAAGGTTAAATTCTGTTTTATTCTTCTCATTGGCGAGGTGGATATCGCATACATTTTGGGCGACGCCAGGAAATTGAAAATCGGTCAACCAGAGTGAAACTGCGTGCGATCCATGTAATACCAATAGTGAAGAAACTTCTTGAACGCTTGCCCACTAGCGACGTGGCATTAATTTATGCCAGCGTAACATTGGATATTAGTAAATACTTGGGAGTATCCACAACGCAAGGCGGCCAGTCTATGACGCGGTAGAGAAGCTTGAAGAAATGGACTGAGATACCTGATAAGGTTAATGCGTGCTGTCTTCATGGATGAAGGTCTCGGGATGGTCCACACCAATAATTGGAGACCGTATCAGACATGACATAGTCACGCAGTGTGGAGTTCCTGCATTCGGTTTCTTGCATTGTATTGTTAATTATCTTACCATTTTGATTAGTAGAATGCATTTCCTTCTTGCTTCGATTTTCGCTACATTCAACCCCACTAGCTTGCCGTTCCTAGGTATTGTTATTCTTGCTATGTGATTGGTAGCAACTGGATTCACCGCATTTCGGTGTTCGGATCATAGTTGTACAACTGTACTGTACTGAGATGTACATGATTCGTTGTACATTCCTCATTGCTACTCTGTCCATTTTTCGCGAGTTAGTAAGTACCAATGGGCAGTATCCTAGGATACGACGAGCGCAGTACATATACAAGTCTAGAGTATCTGAGCATTATCGATTTACATATGTAGCCTTGGCTATGTTATATCCCGCATGTTCGGCAAAGTTCAATGAGAGAGAACTGTACTCCTAGGCAATTGACAATAGGTAATCCGTTTATTGTCAGTGCATTGGACGGAATACTACAGTTATAGGAGATGGCCTTGCATTGCACTCGCAATATTTCCATTTTGCAGAGGCCGCATCCACCGGTCTTAGGCCTTTAGATCGATCTGAATAGCATACATGCCAGTACCCATTCCGTTAGCAGCAAAAGAGTAAAGAACATCAATACCATCTGTAAATAGGAATGGCCTTCCGTGGGTGAAGCAATCCAACACGTCTTTGACGTACAAAAGGAATAATAGTGGGCAAAGAACACTCCACTGAAAATTGACGCTAGTTACGGGCATGTATATTGATTCCGCACTACCCAGCCATACCGTCTATGTGTGCGCTGTCAAATATGATGAGAAGCATGACAGCAGCTGATGCGATAAACCGAACGACTGCAGTTTAGTCAATAGACCAGCATGATGAACGGTCGAAAGCTCTCCTCGTGTCAAGGAAGACAATGAAAAGTGCATTGGCTGAAAAAATCACATAACTTACAGGATCTAAAAACTCAAAGTGGCACGCCTGATTGGACTTGGCAGGTAAAATTCCATATTGAGACACGATAATTAAGCTGCGTTAAAGCATAAATTAATGAAACTGTTCCTTAGCTATCATTTCCATCACTCGTGATGCGATAGACTTGTGGCTAGTTGGACGATAGTTGTCAATGTTCTGATGGAAGTCACTTATGTATCTTGGTAGAACAACTACAAGCTTCCAGGCGGAAAGGAAGGTGTTGTTTCTCATTCAGAGAGTGAACGAGTTCATGAGTAGAAGCGTACACAAAGGCACCACTAAGCAGCTTCATTAACTGGAAAGCTTGAAGGGCCTAGGTGTGCAAGGCTGAGAGTAAATAACGCAAAAATAGCTCCAACCATCATGACCGAGGTAAAACAGGTCCAAAAGCCGGGATGTGTCATTCAGATAGTAGGCATGTACAAGACAATGAACGGAGCTAGTTATTCAACGTACCAACTTGTTAGGTCGGATACTACGGGGATAGTAGATTCGCTAGCGTCCAACGAGATATACGTTGAACACTGCAAACGAACAGCTTTCCGTTCCTAAATCGCTTCTAAGACGAATGTTGAGAAGCGTATGGGACAAACTTCTTGAGGGTTTCCTGCCTAAATTGTGAGCCTGCTGTCCGTCGAGTTCCATATAAAATTCGTAACAACGAGAACATCCAATTTTTCATTGTTTGCGGGAAAGAGGCATCTTGGACAGTGTCAGTAGGAATGCAGGATTACTAATTGACTGTAATTCAGGATTCGGCACCGGTGTACGCAAGGGAAACAGTTCTTATGAGAACAATAGCTTCAAGCGATAGACATCAAGCCAACTACGGTTTCACTGGACGCAGTGTTAGTTGAGCAGGTGGACAGCAACAGTGTTTGTCCAAGTGATGCAGGCTGCATCCATATCACAGTTTAGTAACGTCTGCACAACGATGATGAAGTTTGTGAACGGATGAGTGATACGGTTCGGGTTGCGGAAAATTACGGAAGAGTCCCGACTCCTCTGTAAAGGTGCTACGCTGATAAGCAAACAAAGAAGTGAATGCCATCAGCCGTGCTAATAGACGTCGACTCTAACTAATATTGGAAGTAATGTGGCTGCGTCAGAAGTGGAAACGGTGATGAAATGCCGAGATGTAGATGTTAGAGATACAAAGAGAAGTATCAAAACGGGACGGGTATTCAAAAATTAATCGAAGTAAGCAACCTGTGGGTTAGGTTGAAATTGGTAACAAATAGATGTTCCAGCGAAGCAGGATACTAAGCAACGCTGCATTTAGGCGGTAGTCAAGATGTGAGACGAGTGAGTCGATCACCATAGTAACAGATTTCAGCCTTTTATCTTCACGGGTACGAAGTGCGTTTGCAATCTCTATTTTTCTCCAGATAAGAAAAATGACTTACAATTTACAAAAACCTCGTATTTGCCCTCATGGCAGTGATATGTTGAAACAGTAATGTTTACAATCTTCAATAACACTCACTGCTGAATAAAACGTTCTGTAGATGTAGAAAAAATACAAAGTTCAAGAATTGTCCAGCATACCCTAACAGTGAAGGAAATCAGTTAAAATATTCTAAACTTTGTAGAGACAATATATAAGTGACCAAGATAGTACAAATGATTCGCCTTAGGAGCAGCATTCCAGTCCATGTATTATGCCAAGTAAAAGTGCGATGAAAAGCAATGGATCTATGGCTTTTATTCAGGCAACTTCACGCATAGTGCTAATAAGTTAGTGAGCTACAAAAAGCAACATATGTTTTGCATTCAAGTTCACGCGGATATACATTCATTCCCTTCCTGAAGCGTTACAAGCACGCACTATCAGTGACACTCGCATTAGTCATGGCACATTAGCCAATGGGACTCCCTGGATGTAAGCACAAGGCTAGATGTATGCGTCTATGGTGGAAAGGTATGCTCCCGAGTAGGCTGACACATTGCGGTTAACGGAAGGCAGACATGGATGAGAGTGTCAGTGCCAGAGGCCAACAACAATACGCCTGACTGTAGCTGGACAACCAAGGATGATGTGTTTGCATGTTCTCCGTCAAAGGTTTAACAGATCCATTGACGGAAAGAGATACCATTGGTTCGTATTCTGACCCGGCCGGTAGCCGATGCCTCTGCACCACATTTCCAACGCTTGTCCTAGCAGTCCGAAACGGATCGAGCGCACAATTCGTGCTCGGTCCAAGGTGCACAGTACCAGTGGCACATTTAGGCTCCAGGTTAGTAGTGCCTCTGGTCGAAACAATATACCCCATGAAGATAATAAGAGTGGGCTTACTTCTCCTCAAGTGAAAGGCTGTGGCATTATTTGGCACAGAACACACATGCACAGGGGATGTTATGCTCTTACAAGAACAATAGCACATTATCTTCTTATAGTTGTCTGCATTTCTGGCAACTTATTTGGCCCATAGGTTTTTCTTATGCGATGGTAGGAGGTACATTTACAGTTTGAGTATGTTGTAGACATTGAGGACTAATTACATCGCCTGAATGGGTGACGTTATCTGGGCTTTCATTGAATGGGTGTTCAAATGATCCCCACGAACAAACGACATAATGGTGTCCAGGTAGAGGTAGCTTCCCAAATTACTGCGAAAGGATCGCGCACAGTCCCACACGACCCGATGATAAATGGCAACCAATTCCACAGCGAAGCATAATCAAGGTAAGGTCTTTGTTACCCAGGTCGCGCTTGTAATTGTGCTGCAATTTGTAAGATGAATCGATTGCAATAAGCATTGCCATGAATGAGTTTGTGCAGCAATCTTCAGTTATGTTTTAGTCTACACAGCAAAAATGGATGGAGATGGAGTTGCTGGCATCGATCCCGAGAGTTCATGATAGAATTTTTTCCCAATACGTGCCTAGTAAACGACCACTGAAGGCTTTCTACTGATGTTCTGTCTGATTTCCATATATTGCCTCAGATTATGCTGCGATACTCCAGAATGGGACGATTAAGGATTTTAAATAGTGCAACTGTAGCTATGATTGTATGCATGTTATGTGAGATGTTAGCGAAGGATTGTTTGGCTCGTGCTATCTGCTACTCAATCTGTTCTAAGAACATAAAGGTACAAGAATATCTGATTCCAAGGAAACGGGTAGACCGTTGTACACAAGTGCGTTCGCTGCTACGTGTGATAGATACTTCGGGTGTCAAACGACCGCAACATGATACTCGATTGTTGTGCTTAAAACGTCATCATTCACCTGTCGCACCAAGTCTCAAGCGAATGAAGGTATTCTTGAATGAGTGGTAGTACATTCGGAAGCTCAACTCCTCGGTGCTCGTGCACAAATGTCATATCACTAAAAAATAAATACGGCACACCATGTTTGTTGACGGAACTGCCATCATTGACACAAAGAAGGGACAGAAAGCGATTCGAGAAGACGGATCGGGTTGCAGGGAAACTTTTATTGGTTCAGCAAAAGATTCCCTGTTAGTTAGCTATAAACGAACGACACCGTGGACGCTCTAGCTAGGGAAACGGATCAAGCACAGCACACAGGGCAGTCGCGCGTTGCAACCGAAGCGAGAGCCAAGCAAAAATGGCGATGAGCAAGTAAAGCATTCGAACTCAGCAAGCAGTTCAACAAACCACACCGGTTGTCTAAGTGTACAATTATAGGATTTTGGTTAGAATTTTACACAAGCAAACCGGGGAATCTCCAGACTGCTACATAGGCAAGTTTTACGTCATCTGCAAACAGAAATGGGTGTCCATGTTTGATTGGGTCGCATATGTTGTTTACGTAGATTAGGAAGGACTAGTGATCCGAGCACACTTCCCTGGAGGACGCCACTGGGTATTTGTTTCGGTGTAAAATATTGCTGACCGATTCTAAGTACCTGGGTTCCACCGTTTAGGTATGGGTTGAACCAGTTTAGCAGAGGATTTCCAATTCCATATGACTCTAGAGCAGACAGCAGTAACTTGTGCGGCACGCGGTCCAACGCCATTTGCATGTCCAACAGAATTATAATGATTGCCATTCCTCTGTCAATCATAGTCGTGACGTGATCGAGGAATTGTAGCTGGCAGGTAATGCAGCAGTGTTTTGAGAGAAAGCCATGTTGTGAGGGACTGATCAGACACAGTCTTGTAAGATATTGAACGATGTTCTGTCTAGGGCTTTAGAAGCATCAGAGGTGTGATTTATTGGGCGGTAGCTTGACACTTTATTTCTTGGGCCACCCTTGTGCGTTATAATGGATTGCTTCCATTGAGATAGAAAGCAATCCAGTAGTGAAAGTTGAAGATTTTTAATAACAGTACAGCGTGGTTTTTTCCTCCGCGTATTCTAACAGTTGTGGAGATGCTATCTGGGCCTAGAAGAATTGTTGGTTTTATGGATGTGATGGGACTTTGCACCACTTACAACCTCACAGGGATACTACAGCGTAGCTCCATCGTTCTTTTTGGTAGTGCAGGATGAAACGGCTGAGTGTTGGGGACAGAGCAGGGGGCAAAACTAGACTTGATAGCCTCGCATATATGCAGGAGATGTCGCGCGTTATTGAATCATCGTCTAGAGCCAACGTTTCAATTTACTGGTACGGTTTAGGGTTCCTTCTTTTGAGTAGTTGCATCAACGTACGTACTTCCTCAGGTTTTCTAAGTATCCGACTTTCTTCTTTGATTTTGCCGTTTGGGTTAGACGTTGTACCTGTAGCAGATTCTCATGTATTTGTAGCAATGTTGCGAAGCTGCTGTTCCTGCGATATAGCGATTTAACTTTCTTTACCTTGGTTGTGGCTTTGTACAGAAGCTTGAGTTCACCACTACGTTCATGCGTATTTCTCCATACGGTAGGTGCCAGTAGATCCGCATTAAGCGCAATATTTTTAATCAGCTCATTTGCAGTCACAGTAGGGTTGTGAGTTAGGAATGAAGTATTCCCATGCATGGTATTGATAAGTTCATTAAATGAATTCCTGTCCACATGATAGAGGTTGCGAATGCGTTTTAGCATTTTCTTGGTCGTTTAAGTGAAGCAATAGCACCGTGTTATGATCACAGCCAGGTAGTAGATTATCAATGAATATATAAGCGTAAGAGATCCCCATTGTGAATACAAAGTCTAAGGTAGTGGCACTTCTGGTTGGCTTTCTAACATGCTGGGTCCATCCATTGAGGTGAATACATAAGATGTTTTCCTCAATCCCCGCAGTGTTTCTCAGTGTAGGCAGCATCCAGTTAACATGTGGTAAGTTGAAATCTCCACACATAAGTTTAGACTTGTATGTGGTACTGGAAGCAGCATATATCATATCGAGTAGCTTTTGGGTTTCACATTGCGTGGTTTGAGGCGGCCGATCGATACAACCCACTAGACGATCAGTGGATGGGATCACTAGCCATAGTGTATCTTCTAAGTCATTGAACACAGGTTGCTCTGGGGGAATTGCAGTCAGGTTATTTCAAAGATATTGACTCAACCACCACCACCTTTGTGTGAGCGTTCCTTGCGGAAATGTTTCTAGCACAAGATGTTAAGCTGCGAATCATTAATTTCTAACGTGCACAAAGTTTCAGTGATAAAAGCAATATCGGGGATCTCATAAACATAAGCGTTGAAAGTAGATCTAATTTAGGTAAAAGAGAACGAATGTTAAT